GAAAAATCGTTGAACCCAAATCTTTTGTTCACAAATCCTTCGTTTCTCGTTTATTTTCAAATCTCAAATTGAAATCGTGAAACCATTCCCCACGACCAAAAAGACACTACCTAAGCCCATCACCCACCAATGACAACCTACCATCAAAACTGTCGAACCAGCCCGCGGTACTAACGCCCCATCAACCAGCAAAACGCCCATCACCAACAAGCAAAAAAAAAAAAGAAAAATCCTATGAGAGGGGAAATGCAACGCCAACACATAAAAAAAATATAAAATAGCAGCTTTGATTTTGGAAAGAGATAGCTTCGTGGGTTTAGAGGTGTTCTTAGGTGGGTTTGGTTTGGATTTATAAAGAAGTAAGGAAAGAAGAATAAGGAAAGACAAAAGAGGGGGCTATCACTAGCGGTGGGAGTGGCGATAGTCTAGGTCAGGTCCACAGCAGCTAAAATTTTGGACGTTCAGGATTGGCAGAAACGAAGAGTGAGAATAGAATAGCAACATATCAAAATCTTAGGAGGATCGGACGGTGAAATGAGGAGATTTTGTGGTTTAAAGTTTCAGTTTTGGATTTCAAATAGATTTAGACCATTTTGGAAAAATTGAGCTTGGAACGGAGAAGAGGGGGTCGAAAGGAAGCTCTAGTGAAATTTTGGGCTCAATTAGATTTCAGCCGATGGCAGTGGCCGACAGTGATCGGCAGAGTGGCAGCGATGGTGACGACAGAAAAGCTTTTGATTTCTGAGATTAAAATTTTTTTTTTAAAGAGAGCTAGGGTATTTTTCTTTTAAGAAGAAGGGAATGAAATGAAATAAAAAAAAAATGATATTTGGATGGTAAGGATTAGGAATTTTGCAAGCAAGAAATCGGTTTTTGTTTTTCAATTTTAGACTTTTATTTTTTTAATGATATTTAGAGAAATATCATGGAGACGTAATTAGAAAATAAAAATCAAATAAATTGTTAATGTTGATGTAGATTTATGGTTTGCATTTTAATTCATGTCAACACCAAAAATAATAAAAATAAATAAAAATATCACATTAATAACCACGTTAATAATTTAAATAGATAAAATTTAATATTATTAATGATTGAAATCATAATAATACAGGACCTGAATATTTTTGAATTAAATTAAAGAGATTAAATTTTTAAAATTTGAAAAGTATAAGAATTTATGACATATTTTAATCATATTATATATGATGTTATCAAACTCTTCCAAACATAATATACTACATGTGATTCACTTAGGGTCGATAATTTAATCCATTATCGATGGATTTTGATCCGATCTAATTTTACAAGGTTGGTTTTTTTTTTTTCGAAATTTAAATTTCGGTCGAGTAAGATTATAAAATAATTCGGGTCGGGTCAGATTCAGATTTTAAGCAAACCCGATCCGATCATACCTGATATTATATAAAAAATTATTTTTTAATTATTTTTTTAATTTTTAATTTATATATTTATATAATGATATTTTTAAATATTATATTTAAAAAATAATATTTTATTAATTTCGGATCGAATCGAATCATGTGATTTATATAATATCAGATCGAGATCAGATTCGAATATGAAAGAATAAAAAAAAATTCAAATAAAATCAAATTCAGATTTGATAATACATAAAATCATCGAGTTTGAGGCAGGCGATGCCAACTCTAGATCCACTTGGATTAATCTAATAGATAAAGAGAAACTCTAAGAATAAAATCTTAAAAACATAGGTCGAGAAAGTATGCTAGCAGAGAATAGATCAAAACAAAAGTTAAGGTACCCCTAATAATCTTATTAAAATAAATAAATAATAATATACTACTCTCTGTCTCATGTTTTTGTTTATTTTTTGGATGTTGCAAAACTATATTGTTTTTGCAATACTTAAATCTCTTGTTCTTTTCATGTTCCAAAATTAATTTTCATGATTTTTTTTTACTTTTTAAAATAAAAAATTATGAAACATTAAATTTATAAAAAATAAAAAATTAATATTATATACACCAAAGTTAATTTTTTTTAAAATTCCATAAAAATAATGGAGAATTAACAATGTTGGGACGAGTGAGTACATGTTTCCCTCTCCTTAATTTTCATCTTTCATATTCATCAATGATGATTTCACATAATGGATTAATTTCTTGTCAAAGCTGGGTTTTCCTTTTGGTGCATTGTTATTGTCAGAATTGAAATTCAAGCAAACAAACTACGTATCATTATTAACACAAAAAAAAAAAAAAAAACCCTTTAATTTGATGCTTCACTAAAAAGGATATATAGTTTATATGGAAAATTAAATAATTATATGTACTTTTTGAAATATAGATTTAAGAGAGTTGATTCGGATTTAATTTTTTAGATAAATTATGAGCGCATACATTATACATAAATTAATTAAAATTAAATATATTTATATATTTAAAAAAGTATAAGTAGATGAATTTCAAATTTACCAATCTTTACATGTATTTCAAATCAATCAATAAATAAGCATTAACAAATTTATGAATTTAAAAATAATCATAAGGGTCATATTTACCATAGTTTTATCAAACAATTTATACTAAATATGAAATCTAAATCCTTTCTATTAAATCCAAATTAGTAAAACGCCATATGATTTCTACACATTCATTTTTCCTTTTCACTCACTGGCTTTTTCCTGAAAATCATTGCAGGATTTCTCCTGAAACCCCATTTTCTTCTGAAACCTCATTAATCTAACTCGGCTAACTTTTTCATTTCTGGCATTCATGAAGAATTCCCTTGTAATCTGCGTGCAAAGCTTCGGGTTCTTGGCTGCCAAGACTTCATACTTATCTGATAAAACTACATCCTCAGTGTTCTTGAAAATGAAATTCAGGGCAAATTTCTTTCAATGTCTTGTTTGAACAAATTTCTGAGGTTTCTAATACATCAAGAACGCTTGATGCATTCAAACAATTCAGCATATAACATTGGCAGAACTCCTGCAAGTATGGAATCTCGTACCTTTCAGCTGCAATAAACAATGAGTAAACATGTTTCTCCAACTTTTCCAAGGGCAAGCTACCATTGTAAAGAAATTCCAGCAGGGACTCAAGCTCTTCAAAGTTTAGCTCAGGGAGAGTGATAGTATCACTTGCTGCTGGAGCCCTCAAGCCATCCGAGTCCAGCATGTTCTTAAATATTTCAGATTTTGTTGCCTACAACAAATATATAATGTTTACAACACATATACCAGGTCAGGATTACAGGATAAGTGTTGCATTATGTTAGAGGATATATTTAAAAAAAATCAATAAATTAAAATAAGAAACAGAAGACACAAAAAATGATTAAATTAATATAATAAAGAAAAGACAGATAATATCTCAATCGTGGTTATAGAATTTAACTCCACTATAATTATCCGATAACAAAAAAAAAAAAAAAGAGATGGAGGGTAAATGGAGTTACTAGTATGACCCTGTGTGCTGGTATGCAAGGCCCACCATCACCAGGCTTGAGCTGTGTATCAGTATGAAATTCTTCTTTCAGTGCCCCAAATAGTCCACTTAAGAAACTTATTCTTTTATCTTTCAAGTCATTCATCCATTTCGCTTGATTTGCATGTGGCTGAGGCTATCAAAAAAATAACATAAAATAAAGTCATGATCATTTACCTTCTACCATCTAATAGTTGGATCTGATTCTTGCTATGTAGTAGATAAGCTTACATTTCATGAATCCAATTTGTTCCTTAGTTAGTATATGAAAAATGATCTAATACACTATATTCATTGAATTTTTTAAAAATTTTATAATGGAATAAAAGAGTTGTTACATAGGATATATTTAAAAAATTAATATAATAATAAAAAACACATCATTACCTTTAAACTCTACTTGTAGAGTTTAAATAGGTGGTGTATGATTAATAATCCATTGATATAAAGCATAATTAGCATAAGTGCCCATAGATGTATGATAAACGAAATTTTTTTTTTGAGAAGACATACATTAAAAGGATATTAAACCAACAAAAAAAAACGAAAAAAGAAATAAGAAGAAATTACCCCATTCACAGCAGTACTCACCCTTGAGCTTACCCTGGGAAAGCAAGAACAACAGGAGGAGAATATATCAGAAAAGAATGTGGAGCTGACAGCAGATGAACTAAATAATGCTCGTAAGGATGGGGTTTCTTCCTGCGGCATTATTAGAGATCGTTTTGCACTTTCTGTGTTTTTTAATAAATGATGATGTATTTGGTTTTTATTTTCTTTTCTAACATTTATTGGCCATTGTGGATGAGGATAAGAATTTTGTAAGTGGTATTTTATTCAAATTCAAACAATTCAATTACAATATCACAGTGTAAGTCTGTATTTATGTACTATACTTATTAAAAGATAAGAAAGATATATAATATTAGTGTTATCATTAAAGCTTAAGATAAAAACAAAATGAAATATAATCTTGAAAATAAAAATATATGTCAGAATTGTTAAATAGATATCAATTAAACAACAATCACTTATTCTAAAAGTCATGATAATCTATAAATGCATAACAGATTCAAATGTTATTCAATGCTCAACAGATATGAAAAATCATAAATCAGTTATTGAATCAAAATATTTTGGTAAGTTTCTATTGCCCATTAACAATCACTTTGTTGACAAATATGGCAAAAATTAGATGATTAAGAATGAAATGATTTTTTGGATTGTGCAATGACCTAGTAAAAGCACTAAGAAAAATTAGTTAGTACTACCATAATGTTAGTGAGTGTATCTTTGACTCTTTCTCTAGCCCATTTTGTTTGCTTACGATTATATTTCAATAGTAACGGTTTTGCCTCATCAAATAAAATTATTTTGGCCATCTAGGTAATGAAAAAAATAGCTATATGAAATGAGAGGAATTGACATTTTGCCCTTAATATATGATAAGCTCAACAAGTTACCTTAATGAAGATTTTTTTTTTTTGACATTTGGGTTCTTCAAGTATTGAACTCTGGCCACGGCTGTTGGCAAATTGGAAAGGGAAAATGAAATTATAATTTGTTATAACAAATCAGAATTTTATTGCTTTGCATCTTTGCATGTAAAAATGTATTCTCTACATTCTTGGTGGTTATTTGCACCAGATATTTTCTTCAATTGATTTCTTCCGTCAAATGGCATAATGATCAAACTCCATTAGTTCTTTTGTTTTTGGCATCCATTAAAAAGGCCCTTGTAATCTGCACACCAAGATGAGGGTTCTTGGTCGCAAAAACTTCATACTTAGCTGAAAAAACTATATCCTCCATGTTTCTAACAATGAAGTTCAAGGCAGTCTCTTTTAATGTCTTGCTTGAACTAACATCTGAGATCTGTAAAATTTCGAGAACATTTGAGGCAGTCAAGGAACTTAACATGTATCGCTCGCAGAAATCTTGCAAGTATGGAATCTCATACTTATCAGCTGCAACAAACAACGAGTAAACATGTTTCTCTAGCTTGTCTAAAGCCAAATTCCCACTGTAAAGAAACTCAAGGAGAGACTCAAGTTCTTCAGTATTCAACTCTGGCAGAGTAATTGTATCGCTTGATGGAGCCTTGCAACAATCAGAGTCTAACATGTTCCTGAATATCTCTGATCTTGCTGCCTATAAATTCAGCAAATGAAATTGGTTTTGATTTACAGAAAAAGTAAAGAATATGGAAATTAAAGATCATAAAGGAAGGAGTGGGAGACAATTACTAGTAAAGCTCTGTGTGCTGGTATGGAAGGACCATTGTTGCCAGGCTTGAGCTGAATATCAGTGTGTATTTGATCTCTGAAAGCCACAACAAGTCCACTCAAGAAGCTTATTTTCTCATTCAAATCATCTTCCATATCCTTCATACTTGTTATCCATTTTGTAAGATTTGCAAGTGGCTGTGGCTAACACAAGGAAAATCCCATAGTTCAGCCTATATTCTGGATTATCAAAATTGTGCATGTAATAAATTCAGCTTTGGTCTTTAATAGTTTTGTTCTATTTTATGTAGAACGATATTACTTCTTACTACCAAGAAAGTTCCTTCAAGATAAATGGGCAAAAGCAATGCACTTAATAAAAATTCTGTTGCTTTGCACATACTTTGAATGATCAAATGAAAGTATTAAACTAATCTAATGCTAGTAACAATTCTATTAATGTCAGACTTCTAACAACAATTATCAGAATCATGCATAACTGCATCGAGGCAAACAGATAATGGAACAGTAAAAACGTGAAGTTTAAGATTCTAATTGATTGACTGCAAGAACTAGGACACCCAGCAAAAGTAACAAGAAAACATGAAAACGGAGCTTGCCTTACAGGAATTTGGTGAAGATGAACCAGGAATGTTACCGGCTTTATCGGTTCCTTTACTATGATAATTTTCAAGCTTGTTCATCAAGGTGATTACATTTCTTGCTCCTTCATAGCATGCTCCACATATTGTATTCCTTGGAGGCCTAAGAATAAATGGCATTGAACTGCAGATAGAGCAATCCATTTTGCCTTTTTATCTGTCACAACTTTCTGCAGACCAAAAGATTAGGAGAAGAAGGGAGGAGGGGAAGCAATTTCTTCTTTCGAACTCAAATTGAATAAATTGTCATTTCCCTTGATTGATAATGATGGAAGTTTGTTAAACCTTATTTTATTGATGTCAATTCATCTGACAAAGCAACAACCAAATGATGGCCTCCATATTTTAATTCAAATGAAATAACTACTCCACCCTTCAGAACCTAGTGGAAGAGGATGGCTGATTTAATTTGTTTGATTTGAGTCTGTTTAATTTGCTGCCTGATCTAAGATTAACATAATTATCCTTATTATCAAAGTGCAACTTTATCGGATAAGGCCATTTCTTTTTTTTTTTTTTTTGAACAATATAAGTATAATTGATCATTTGAAATATTATGAGGGTAACAAAATGGAAATTAGAGAGGTAGGGCGACAATCAAACAATGGGTAATTTGTAATTTTTCCTTGGAGATGATCACGAGAACATTTATATACTAAGGAACCAACAGTCTAATGCTATGTTTGGCTGGATGGTACAGTGTGGTAACAAAGACTCTTTTAGTGTAAAAATTGATTGATTGGGGCACATATAGCACCACCTATCCAAACATAACCTCAATTAAATAAATAATCTGATGATTCCATAATAATATAATTAAGTATTTGATGGAAGTTGGCCAAAAGAAAGTATTTAAAAAAGATAATTATAAAGAATTAAAGACAGGGGTAGAAGAGTCAATGGATAACTGTAGATTTAAAAAAAAAATGAAAAAGGTAGTCATGTGTTGTTGTCAATCAAGGGAAGATGGGAAGTTGGTTGGAAATGTGTTTTGAGTGAGTTTCAAAGAAGCCGTTAAAAGGCTTTAAAAAATAGGGTTGAAAGAAAAGTAATCAGAAAGTTAGGAAGAAGAAAAAGACTTTCCAACTTCACAACAGCAAGGATGTGAAAGGCTAGGCTAGCAGAACCACTTTCATAACATTTAGAACTTCCAAAATATTAGTTTTGTAGGCCTTCCTGGCCAACTGCTACAGCACTCCTGTCTCCTGGTTCCATCATGGAAGCCAATGGCATGATTAACAATATTTCATGTCTTCCAATAACAAGCTGCTGAATTTATAACAGATTAATCAAAGGTGAAATGCATATAGAAAATTATTAACTAAATCCATACATGTGCTTTAGTTTAGGTTTCAAGTTCTGTTTTATAGGGCAAAGAAAACCTTGTCAAGGTCAAAATCTAAGAAAAAAACAGCATTGGTAATAGGCAATTCTAGCACCAAACCACAAACATATGCTTTCCATTCTGCCCACAATTCTGGATCTGTGAATACCTTTTTTGACAATCTTTAAAAGCTAGATCAAGGCGCCTTGAAATATAGGAACTAGTGAGAGAGAGCAAAGCAGTGATCCACTCCCTCAGCACAGGGGAAAGTCTGTTGTTAACCTGTGTCAACTGTGAAATACCAAAACTCAAATACTAATAGCAACCAAACCATGAAAACCTGAAATGAATGATAACATTTTGTGCATTCCATCCTGCTTACATATTAATATATAATTAAAGGAACTAAAAATGTTGTTCATCAGAACCAAATATTTCATATTAAATGATCTATAATACTTCATCTTTTTCTTCACACAGCACAAAAGCATAATAAACCTGAAAATATGGAAAATTTGAAGCAATTTTTGCGTATATCAAACATTAAAACTAAAGAGATCAGTGAAGGGTCAACATTCATTTACTAAGGACATTATTAAATTGTCATATTCTTGCTAGTTTTCACGGTTTTGAATTGATTTATTGTGTCAGTTTTTGTCTGTGTTTGGAAGATTTAGTGTGACAAAAATAAAGTAGAATAGAAAATTTTAATATTTATTTTGTAAATTTAAGCATTTAAAATTTATGAATATTTATTATTAAACACTTCAAAGCTTTTTAATTTATTTATTTATAAAATGTCATAATTCACTGGCATTATATAAATTCATTCCACTAACAATATATCAAATATAAACCATCCTCAAAATATATAAATTGAGACTCCACAAAGCATAGTCTTCAGTCAAAAAACGTCATTTTGGTTAGGGAAGTCCAATTTTACTTTAGGGCCCAATTTGAGGCAAAATTTTAAAACTTATTTTAGAACCCATGAAAATGAATCCAAAAACAAGAACCCAAAAAAATGAATCGATGAAAGCTGTTTGCAGCCCAATTTACTGAATCCTCGGCTGCCCCAGATATTTGATGGTTCGCGACTCAACAATTCTGTCCATTCCTAGATCATTTTCATGGCCCAATAACAAAAAAAAAAAATGGCAAGATAAATTTCCCGCCAACCCAAAACCATCTTCAACACTGCACTTTGGAAGAGATAACCGAAGCTGAGAATTCTTGGAAAAGCAACAAAAAAATGGAAGAAACAAAATCACCAACAACAACACCAAGAAGAAGAACCAGCAAAAGGAAACCCTTCACTGATCTCAGCAATACAGTCCCATCATCTCTGCCTTCTTCACAATCCTCTTCTTCTTCTTTACTCAAACCACCCACCAAATCTTCTCTCTCTTTGCCTCTTAAATCCCTTCTCAACAACAATCTCAATACTGATCTTAATTCTAACTCCAAGTTTACTGCCACTCAATTCACCGCCAATAAGAATAATCACAATGACAAGAAGAGGGAGAAGAAAAAAGGTCCAATTAACAGGGCAAACCCTAGCTCCATGTTGTCTCCGCCACCAAAAACGCCTTCTGTTTCGGGTGATTTTCATGATTTCTCGGACTTTGTTCTGGGTTTTGATTGGATTTCTTAATAGGGGTTTGCTTTTGGAGTTCTGTGTTGTCTAGGGTTTTTGGTTTCTGACGAATGTTAATTTGTTGTTTTAATACTAATGAATTGATTATTTTACAAAAATGGATTTTGTGGGTTTTTATTAAAATTGTTCTGGTGAATTTTATTTTTTTATGAATTAAATAACATTTTTCTGCAATAGAACTTAGTGGGTTTTGACTTTATGGTCAGTTTAAACTGTATCAAATTGCTTCTACAATAATTCTATGAATTAAATTAATGTTGATTTTATTAATTTAGTTTCTAGTAGTTTTGCTGAATGATCCCCTTACTTCATTTTCAGTGCAAGCTACATATCATTGATTTAATCTAGTTATCTAGATTCTAGACAGTAATTGTGCGAATTCGATTAATGTTTTTCAGCTTGGAACTACTCAGTTTCTTAGAAACTATAGTTGAAATACACTCTATGGTGTGGAAATTAGGTGAAGTAGGTGATCTATGTTTTCTCAACCATTTTTTTGTCCCTAGTTTTCTGTATTGTGCATGTATTGTTGGTCTAATGGATTTTACATTATGGTTATGATTTTAGGTATTGGTGATTGTGTGGATTTTGAGCCTTGTACAGTTTACAACAGGAGACATACTGCTGAAAAAAGGAAGAGTAAAGGGAAGGAAATTGCCGAGCCTTTCAGTTGCTTTTTTGAAATGAGAATGCCAGACTTAAGGTGGTTTTCCTTTTATCAGTTTGTGCATTTCTTGTTGGTTTGGTACTTTGTCCTTGGATAACTAGTCTTTGATGACTCTAGAAAGCAAAGGATACTTAGAATTTGTAAGCGTAATTAAAAGAATAAGTGGATTGATTGTCGATGTCATGGTATGGTAGTCACTGATGCAGTCAAATGGTATTTTTACTGTTGTAAGTAGCCATATGCCATTAAATAAAGGGTGGAAGTGATCTTCAGCATTCACTCTCAACTCTGTAGATGGTTAGGTTTTAGGCAACAATTTTAAGATGAGGACTACCAAATGTTTGGCCTTTTGATACCTTGACCATATGTTTGGATATGAGAAAAATAATTGTTAAATTGGTTTAACTAATGGTCTTTTTGTGTCCAATTTCATTCATATATCTTCCATATCCTTTCATAATTGAGTCTTTCAGGAGATGGTAGCTAATGAGAATGAAAGACTATTGTTTCCTCTTAAAACAGTTTTTGCTTTAGATGCCTGTGTTTTCTTCATTTTTTTAACATCTGTTTCCAATTAAAGTCATGACATCTTTTGAGCCAAGTTTGCTTTGAACACTCAGAAAATGAATTTGGAACACAACGCTTGGGAAATCAAAGTTTAAGGTCTTTGAATTATTCTATGTTGTGATAGCATGTTCTATTTAGGTATTGAAGATTATGGTCTTGTATATCAGATACTTATTCTTCTCTACTCTTTTTTATTCATAATTTCTGTTATATTCATCACTATTCTTGTTCTCTGTTTCATTAATTCAGAATATCTCTGTTGCATAATGTTTGGTCAGATTATGATGATCTTCCATCGAATATTTCCATGGTTTACCTCCTTTATTAATGCTGTTTCTCCTTGTCTTTAATACAGGGAAAAAAAAGATGGAGATGGTGATATTGGTCTCTCCAAATCATGCCCAATAGCACGTAAAAAGGTTTGTATAAAAATTCTCCTAGTTTCTTAATTTAGTTTGTATTGAATGAATAATCATGCTATTGATCTTTGGTTTGGGAATTTTTTGGCCTTCATTAAGACAATTTCCTTTTTGAAAGCTCTCTAGCTTTAGAATGTTTCACATTTTTATATAAAACCTTATAATTTCATTAAAAAGTGTTGATCAATGATGCATATGTGCACACTGCTTTACCTTGTCTTGATTGCTTCAATTTGTGCCAAGCTGGTAATTTTTGGGACACGGTTGGTGAACAATTATTAACTCAAAATTACTGGCTGGTGGCAGTGACTTCCTTCTTGTAACTTGTAAACTTTTTACTCCAGTAGGGACGGAAAAACAAGAAAGAAGAAGGGGGAGAAGGGGGGTGTTGGTGGTACCTGTGGTTGTGGTACCAATAAATGCTGCAACAATGAAGTATTCCCCTTTCACTTCATGGAATCAATTTCTCTCAAAAATTACTGCATTCTGTCTTTTGTTGGAGCATTAACATGTCAGGAATGTTTGTTATTGTCTATGCTATGTGAACTTGTCATCTATTTTCTGCTGGAATTGGACCACTACTCCACAGCATTTTAGACCAGTCTTGCTTTTTGCATACAGCTACGGAGTGGAATTTAAAATAAAAACTGGACGAAGCATATGCTTTCCGGAAGCAAAATAAAGATATCATGCCACTTATTTTTCTGCAAATTGCTTTCTTTTTTGCTTTAGTTATATTGTTAGTTATAATATATTGCTGCTTGCTTTTGCATTAAGCCATATAATGCTCGTCTCTTTCAAGCTTTTTTTTTTTTTTTTTGTCATAAGCATATGCATCCGTGAAGATAATGTGATTAATATGTATTGAGTTGAGATTAATGGATTTTGATGTCACCACAGAAGCAACACCGAGAGAAGTCTGAGGTAAATGCTGCCAAGCATGACTTGCCCCAAGATTTCATTGACAGGCAGAGAGCCTATTTTGCAGAAGTTGATGCATTTGAGCTGGAAGAGGAGGTGGCATCAGCTGATGAGTTGGAATAGATGAAAAGTATATAATTGAATCATTTAGGATAATGCAATTTAGGTGCTCTAACCCTGTAATATTCTCCGTATATAGTTTACCGACAAATTTTGGTGTAATAACTACCTTACTTAGCCATATCCGATGCTTGATAGTCTTCCCCATCGTAGTCTAGTGTACCTAGTTGTTGTCTTCCCCATGATTGCATAGGTTACTGCAGTGTTAATTGTATTTGAGAGTTTACTTTTCTACGTTTACCAAAATTGTATTTCATACAAGGCGTACTCTGCCGACACTGGCCTCAACAAATGGACTTGATTCCTTTGCGATTGTGAATTATTGATATCATCTTGCTATGAACTGCTGATCAAATCTGCGTGTGCTGACAAAAATCTTGGATACCATCCAAGTTTTGGCTCTTGTACTACCAATAATGCAGGCTACAGTAGCAGCAATCTTGATGTCCCAATCAGATGCTTGAACTTATTTGCCTCGTGCAGTGAAAAGATTCGATCTGTCCGGTTTTGGTTGGGGTGACGGAGCCTACTGAAAAGAAACTTTTTACCCCATATTGGGGGCTAAGTGAGCCTAGTTCATTAATTTATTTCCAATACTTAGGGCATGCTACTGTAGCTCATTTAAAGCAAACATTAACTATTCTCTAATTATTTGCATAAATTTCTGCTTTCTTTGTCCACTTCTATGAAAAGAAAAAAGTAGAGTTACTTTGCTTTTCTGATCTTCTTATTCAGCTGGATTCTGTAAACATTACCCATTCATTTCTGAATAGATGAATTCTAGCACTCAAGTTGGCTCAAATTTTCCAAGATGGGCTATTATGGGAAATATTAAGGGATAATCTTAACTCTGTTTTGAGAGAGGAGAAAGAGGAAAATTACGCATCTTTAGTCTTTAAATTCAAGCATAGGACATGTAATATATTTTATTTACTTTAGTTATGTCTTGATTTATTATTGTTTTTTAAATTATGTTTATTAGTATAAGTAGTAAGGATAAGTAGTTAAGATTATTTGAATTTATTATTAATTAGTTTATCATTTAGAAATTATGGACATTTATTTGAGTTAGGAAACTAATCTATAAATTGATTTTAAAATTAAGTTTTTAAGTGCGAAAAATTCTTAATAAAAAATCTAGAGTTTGAGTTCATCCTAAAGAGATTTTTTTTTTTTTGTACTTATCAAGACAAATTTGAAGTATACAAACGATGAAACAACTGACTGTACAAACAATGAAACAACTAATTCACTTCAAACATTTTAAAGAACCTGAATTGATGTCAAGATCAACAGACATACTCCCTTAAACATTCTATAATTTCTTGTAAGTATGAAAACAAATTTCAATTTGCTTTTCTATAATTGGTCCTGATCTCCCCAGCACTTGCTATGAGAGGCTTGATGTTTCCCATTTTAATCATAGACTTGGCAAATTCCTGGAAAAATAATGAAGAGTTGGCAGCATAACTTTTAACCAAAGCAGCAGCAGAACTTCCATTGAAGAGCTCTTGATCAGAATGAAGTAGACCCTTCTTAGTTAACAAATTCTTGTAATATAAATGATCGAAATAGGTTGGCGTCTGAACATAAAGGGCGCGAGCACACTATCATTCCCACTTCTTTTGCATTACGGTGCCATGAGCTGGCGAAGGAGGTGTCTATATTGGAGTCATTATGAATATGTCCTTGAAATGATGTGCACCGGACCAGGCCAATAGTGTGTGAACCTGCAATCCAAAATGAACTATTACACCTATTAATAGCATGATAAATTCCAGGAAAAATTGATGCTATAAATGTACTTGTTCATAGGAAAAATGAATAATGACTTTGGTCTAAAAAGAGAGTAGGAAAACAACATTATTTTTCCAGAGCTAGTAAATGTGATGTAGTTTTTGTTCTTCAGAGATATCGGCTTTTTATGACATTGGCTAACTAATGGATTGCCAGACAGTGTTACTAGGTCTTTCACTGAGAGACCCTGAGCAGAGAAGCTTGAAATAAGAGCACTTAGATTACAGGTTGGTGTGGGATGGAAGCATTTGCCGCACCTTCTGGTAGCAGTGGTAGAATCCCTTCTTCCCAACCTTACCTTCCATGAGGGACCCCCTAGCCGCAAACACCAGAGAAATATCTTCACACAAAAATATAATGTAAGTTTAGAAATATCTTCCAATTGACAATAGAACAAGTGTAGTAATCAGTGTTTCATAGCTTGGGACCTCTGACTAAATTTTAAGAGGAAAAAATCAGGCTTCATTTTTTTTCTCTTCAAATTATTTGTTGTTAAATTTATAGGCTTGTAGCTGAATGATGTGAAGCTAATTTGAACAACCGAATCACGAGCTGCTATAGTAAAAATATCAGCACAGGATACCACTCCAGGACTTGCTTTCTCCACTTGAGCTTTGATGTTATCGACCAAGTTTAATCCTCTATAGAAGTTATTGGTAGGAACTGCAGTTTTCTCACCTATAAATGCGGCATTATCATCTAATAGTACTGATCCATCACAGCCCTATTCATAATGAAAATTCACTTAAGTTAATTCAGCAGCAGCATAGGAGCAGCATGCATTATCAATGGAATTGAACCTATACTCACATGGACAAAGCAGTGATGAAAGTGTAATCTGAGCAAGGATGCCCCTACACGTGTTTCATTCTTTGTAGCAGCTGCAACTGCTGCCTTAACAATAGAAAATGCTTGTGGGCAAGTGGATGAGTAGTAATCAGGGGAGAGTTGGCCATTTGTCTGAAATGAAGCAACAGCAGCAATCAAGATAAGAAACGGTGAATGATAAAAAACCATGAAAACACTTGTATATAATGCAAGAAAAACAATTCAATAGTGATTTCTTGCCCATTATTAAGCACAATTACGACTGATTGGAAATCTAATCACGTCCTTTTATAGTGTGTAACTCGAGCAGGTTTTGATTTTCACAAAAATGGAGACAGGGAAGGATTGCAGAAGGTAACGGTGTTTGGCAAGTTCCTTTTGTTTATTGCCATTAGTTTTCCTTGAAGTTTTTTGCTTAAAGCCTGAGGTTCCTTCAGAGTACATGGTGCCTTGAGTAAGATTTATCTTACCAATAAAAAAGAAAAAAAAAACTAAGGCCGCACAGTCAAGATTAATGCAGCCTGACCATTGTAGTGGGTGAAACACTGTTTACTTTCTCATATAGTTTAGTGTTAATAATAATAATCATAATCACATAATTCAAGGGTTTAAGCAATCAGGAAATTAAAAGTAAATTTTCACTGCATAAAATTAATATCTCATGAGGTAGCTTTTCTATTAGTTATTAATATCCTATAGCAGTGATGTGAAAGACCCTATTAAATCATCGCCTCTTTTTTTTTTTTTTTTTTGAGATCTGAATATGATACAGACAATTGTGATGGAAAGGGTTGCTTCGGTTCTTCTGGATACATAATTTGAAACAGTTCCTTATTACATTTTCTTCAGGAAATTTTCAATTGACTTTTCTGCAGTTGCTCCTGATCTCTCCAGAACTTCCTGTGAGAGGCTTGATGTTGCCCATTTTGATCATAGATTTGGCAAAGTGCTTGAAAAATTCAGAAGTATCTGCAGCATACTTTTTTACTAGAAAATCAGCAGAACTGCCATTAAAGAGCTCTTGGTCGGAACGGAGAAGACCCTTCATCTTCAACAAGTTGTGAAAGTACAAATTATCAAAAGAAGTTGGCGTCTGGAAATCAAGAGGTTGATGCACATTATCCTTTCCACTTTTTGGGCACTTGCGCTGCAAGGATTTGGCGAATGAGGCATCGATGTTAGAGTCATTGTAGATGTGTGTTCGAAATGTTGTGCACCTTGCCAGGCCGATAGTGTGTGAACCTGCCATTCAAAATGAGCCAATAATTTGTTTAAGTAATATACCTTTAGATTACAAGATTAATCAAAGAAAAGGAATGCTCATCTGGCTCCCTTTTTATGTTTCTGTCAGCATTCCTTTTGCTACAAAATTTAGAGAAAGTATATATGTTGTTTGTATTGTTGACATATTTCTTGATCATTCTTGAAATGGTGCAGCATATGCGAACTTAGACTATCATTACCTGAAAGTGCCACCAAATCTTTCAATGAGAGTCCTTGGGCAGCAAAGCTTGAAAGGAGAGCACTTATATTGAAAGTGGGTGCAGGAATGGAGTTGTTTGCAGCAGCTCTGCTTGCAGTGATAGAATCCCTTCTCCCTAGCTTTACTTTCCATGATGGACCCCCTAACTGCAAATGATAAAAGGCATTAATATCACCCCAATAAAAAAAAAAAAAAAGGTTATATAAATGATGAAACAACTGCAATCCAACCGAACCAACTGACTTGATTGGAACTAGAAATTAATAACTTGCCGATAATTGTGCTTTTCAGATGTACTTAATTAGGGACTTACTATGACAGTCGAGTCACGAGCTGCAATGGCCAGAATATCAGCACAGGATACCACTCCAGGGCATGCTTTCTCTAGTTTAGCTTTAATGTCATCAACCACATGGAATCCCCTAACAGAGTTATTGTTAGGTACTGCAGTCTTCTCACCTATAAAGGTGGCATTATCATCCAACAATATCGATCCATCGCAGCCCTGGTCATTTTCATTATCCAAATCACTTTAATTGATTAAACAGCATTGAGACTAGAACATAAACAAGTCTTATGGAAGTGAAACCATACTCACATTAACAAAGCAGTCATGGAAATGTAACCGGAGCAATGATGCCCCCATGCGTGGTTCCTTTTTTATAGCAGCTGCTACTCCTGCTTTGACAATAGACAGTACTTTGGGGCAAGTGGATTTGTAGTAGTTTGAGGAGAGATTGTCATGGCTGCCTTCAACAGATGCATCAGCAACAATAAAGATCAGCAGGATTAACAAGTAAGAAGTCATGGAGTTCTTAAAAGATCTTAAAGACAATAGTGTTTTTGCCTTCCTAAACTAGACCAATAGTAATACCACCTTAAAGCCTCATATAGCCTGATACTTTCATAAAGGACAAATACTTCTTTATACACAGAAATTTAGCGATTGGTAGTGTAAATACCTAGCTTCATACGCAAAGGTGATAACTAGTTTTTATAGAGTTTACAGTCTTTACTCTATTAGTTTCAATAAGACTTTGAGTAACCCTTGAAGCAAGGGCAACTTGTTTCTTCTAGTGTATGTTTAGCAAAATTTCTTTTTACATTGTACCAAAGATCATTCCTTTCCTATAAATTTCACCCGTAATAAGTCGAAGTTTCCTTGGAAAGTTCATTAGTATACAAAAAAGTTGGTATTTTAGCGGTTTTTTCTTCCTGCCTTGATTGATTATGATCTAGTCATGGAACACTTAAACCTGTTTTTTTCCTCCTAAATAATGGGTTATTAGTCTTCTTAGCTTTCTTTGACAAATAGGCCATGAAGGAATAAAAATCTGTTTTGCTTAAGGGTGCTCAAATTATCCACTTTAGAGAACCCGAAAAAAAAAAAAACACTCATTGGTAACACTTCATATTCCTTGATGGTCGAGTACAAGGCAAAGAACTTTCACATCAATGTCTCAATAATTGCCTTATTTTTTTACCTTTTGACGCTTCTATTAAACCAGCGAAACAGGAAAGCATCTGTGTACTTTACTGTGGCTCTCATGATAGCCATTGGGGCCATTTTTAAACAGAATTTCTGATATTAACTCTAACAGCAATGTACTTGGTGTTGATATGAATTAATCAAAGGAAGCTTGGAAGAGCAGAGTTCATATCTGTTTTTGGATAATTGAAAATTTCTTTCACCCCAAAAGAGTTTGCAGGAATATCCTGCTAGCCTTCTATTAATTCCATAGCTGTTAAAACAATTACGCAAAAGAAAATAAACAAATTGAAACTGACAAAGACTCAAAACAGTGAGAACCCCTCAACCTTGAAAGAATCAAAGTTACAGCCAGAGTTGAAATGTTAAGAATCAATCACATTCATTTATTCTACTTTCAATTTCCTTTTTGCATTGAAATGCACCATGATCATGCATCACAACTCAAATACAAAGTGACATCTACAAAAGACAGCAATAGGTAGCTGCCCATGCAGAAGCTACGTGAAAGACAGAGAGAGTCAGATCAATGCATCAAATCCCTTAACAATTATTACGAATTTTCAGGTTTTTGATCATATCCTTCCTTCCTTCCTGGCTACAGAACCATTGCTGTTGGCATTTCAATTTCATTGTTCAATCCTTTTCATTTCCTCACCATTTATGGCTTTATTCAGGAAGCAATAGCATTTATACACGTAGAAAAAAGCTTCAAAACCATAGTTTTATTCTCCTCTGGTAGATGACAATGGGTAAAAATCAAAGGGAAAATGTGGCCCCCAGACAACTGGAACCCAAAACTATTTTATTCACCAAAATAGGGAATCTCCGGACCCTTTTACCATCACCATCAAACTTTTTTGACAGCTTTGCAAAAAGAAAAACCTTTTTTGACAATTTACCTCCTCATCGGGCCATAAGCAAAACAGTGTGGTGATGCCCTGGCTTTCTTATTATTATTATTATTTAATTCTTTGATTTTGTTAACCAAATGACATCGTTGTTTAGTTTGCTTCCCAAGGAATGTCGTTACTCCATTTTTTTTTTTATTTTGTATACGTGATTAATTTTTCATTAAATTTTAACATTTTAGTTACATTTTAAAAATAAACATTGGTGAAAGAAAATGATCATATATATATATATATATATATAGATGATATAAAGTATTTTCTCTAAAAAGTTTGAAATGTGTAACATTCGGTCGGTAAGATAATCTTGATATGCTAGTTAATTACTTTATTAAAATCATGTCACAATCAAATTTTAATACGGAACAGGTAGGGGCCAGCCATTAATGAGTGGTGTTGAAAACGTACATCTTGAAATTTGAGTACTCAGTCATGGAGTTTATCAAATTTCTTTTCAAATTGCAATTCCTTGCCCTATTGTTTGCTTACAATTAATTAATTAACTAACTTAGCTTCGTCAATGGATTTTATATTTAAAAAAAAAAACGAAAATTCAACTTCACGTACTATTAAGCTAAATTCTCGAAATTATTATTATTTTGTACTATTATTGTTTTGAATAAAGAAGAAAAGTTGCTAACTCGAATATCCTTTACATTCTAATAGACAGCTCCCAATTTCACTCTTTATAAAACAGTTTAAAACAATTAAAAAAAAATCCAGTTGCCTAAGCAAAATATTTCAATCACATCCAAACAACTTTTAAAATCTCTCTCTCTCTCTCTCTCTCTCTATATATATATATATATATATAATATAATATAATCATTATATCCAAAATAAAAACTAGTAAACCAACCAACAAATTAAGTTACCATATATATAATTTACAAAAATTCAATATAACGTTGGGATCAGATTTGAATTTTGGGTCTAAAAGTTTAATTACAAGATTTTATGTGTAATTGTCAGAATTGGACCAACCTGTTCAAAGCTCTGGGTTTAATGTCAAATGATTCAATTGTTGGATCATTTGAGTTCATGTTAAATTAATAAAAACTATAAATTATATAAATATTTTGTATATTTGTATAAACTAAACATTATGATATAAGAACTAGAAATATTTATTATCATTTAAAAATTTTCAAAAGAATCTTTCAAAAAAAAAAATTCAAAAGAAAGCCAAACTTACAAAGATTTTTCTCTTATTTTTTAGTTTCTTATAATATATTATAAATGTTATTTTTTAATTCATAATAATAATAATAATAATAATAATAATAATAATAATAATAATAATATTTTAGTGAAAATGATGACAGAGTTAATAAGTAGTATGAAAAATTAAGTTATATATAATTTTAAATTATTATTTTAATTAATCCCGCTAGTAAAAAACTCATACACCTGATGAGTGCTTTTATAAATCCAACAAGTTAATGTTTGAATTAATTACATAAATGATCCAATTAAAAAATCGATCCGGTTTAAATGTTAGGTCATTGGATAGATTGATCCGACCACTGGACGGGTTTAGGTATGATAATGTCTAAGACTAAATATGGCTTAAGAGTAAGTTGAAAGCAGAGAATAGAAAAACCACAGGAAGAAGAAAGAATAGACAGCAGAAACTTGTAATTTTTCATTCATATTGCATTTCAGTACATTGTTGTCCTATATATATAGGCCAAAAAATGACAATTCATCACGTGCTAATTACAAGAAATCGTTTTCTAGAATCTGCCACCTTCAGCTCCTCTGTGCAGTACCCCTGATCAACCAGACTTTGAGCTCCATTCCTTTGCTATGCCAGCTTCCATCATTATAACAGCATCTTCTCTGTTCCAGCTTTCATCATTGTAACAGCAGCCCATTTCATCACAAATAACAGTGGTTCTATGTGAATTTTGGGCAATAGTGGAATTTTATGAGATGTAAAAAATTATCCCTCCTTCGGCCTACTCAACTAGGCAAGAGCTTTTGAGAGAAATCCTACATCAGGTGGCCCATGTTTGTTGCAGCAAATATTACACAGCCCCCACTATCTGACTCCCAAGAAGTTGTTGCCATATGCCAAAATATATCCAACTTGGCCCAAAGTTAGGGTTTTGGTCCCATTTAGGCATCCATTGTCCTTTAAAATTTTTTTTTTCTAATTTACCCTTAAAACCGTCTAATCTTATTTACTTACTTTATTTAAAGGTATTACGGCTCTAGTAGTTTAAAATATAGTGCATTTTATATAAAATAAAAAGATTTAATTATTGATAAATAAATTTATTTTTTATATAAATTTTATTCATATTTTAAATAATTATATTTGATTAAATATAATTATTATATGATAAATATCATAATTATTGGAATGTTAATAGATAATTGTTTATATAAATCATAATTACACATATGATTGTAATCATTTAAACAAAAATTTATATTTATTTATTTATTATAAATAAAATTTTCAATATAATTATTTTGAATTAAAGAGTTTTAGATTTTATTATATTCTAGAAGATAATTATTTTTAAAAAAATATTATTTACACTTCAAAACTAAATTTTTTTTTGCATTATTTATATTATTTTATTTATTTTTTCTAACAGTGGCCACCTCCATGGCAAGAAATGTGTGGATATTGGATAAGTTTTGGGCAAGTTATCTATAATTATTTTTTTGTCAATCACAGTTTATTTATGAACAAACTTGTAAAAGTTTCTGACTAGTGTTTTTGTTTGTATAATATGAAAGCCAAGGGCTAATTTTATAAACTACTTAAATTAAATCTTGAATTCAAAATCTTTCTCTTTTCGAATTCAAACCCATTTATAAAACGGTGGAGTCAAACCCACTTCTAAATCGGTGGAAGCCTTGTGGATCCCATATGAAGTCTGAATGACCCAGGGTACCAAATTTAAATGAAGGGGCAGGAGAATCAGCTTCGGAAGGAGCTACTTCAAGGAAAAAAAAATGGTGCGGCAAAAGATGTCAAAGCGCCTTTTCGTTTCTCATCTGTAGCCTTCAGATCATTGTCAAGAATATACAGGGCAGAAAATGGAAGACTGTATAATTATAAAGTCATTGAAATTTGAACCTTCATAAGAAGAAGAAAGATAAAAAAAATATTACCTGAAATAGTCTGCCAGCTTCCTAAGCTCGAAAACTTTTCTTTGTCAAACAACTATTTCACTTGGGTTAGCCCTGCTTTCAGGAATTTGATATTGAAACAGAAACTTGATGTCACGAACAACTGCATTTGGGTCTGCCGTCCCAAAGGTCAAAAGATAAGTGTGATGCATTTCTCTTTAAAATGCAGAATTATCGCGAGAGGAAGGAATCATTTATGTGGGTTACTTGAAAAAAAGGTGGTTATTACTCCAATTCAGTAGAGAAGTCTAATCAAGAATCATCTGCTCCTACTCCATCCCCGAGAACTTATATAGCACTCTTATTCCTCATGGGTTGTGATTTTTTTGCTCTAGATGACCTAATCAAGAAAATCATTGTGTCCTTGGCACATTATATATATATTTTTTGTGTTGATATAATCTCTTATTTTACGTCTGAATTGTAATATATTGAATTTTATATCCTAAACACTAAATAAATTATAAATAATTGAAAGATAAAAAATACTATTTGATTGAATGAAGAGTTCACGTAAAGATAAAAAGTTTGTAGATAACATGAAGAATATATGTATTTTTATAATTTTGTACATTATAATATATAAAAAAAAGTTAAATTTAAAC